CCTAAACACAGAGCTAAAAACCTAAAGTAAATTTCACAGCTCTTGTTCAAAACAATAACTTTCAAAAGTCATCCAGAAAATCTGTATTTTATTTTTCCAGTAACTGAACATTACTCAGACTGATCAGTCAGCTACTTGAAATGTAGAAAGCAGCAGTTTTAAGGTTTTATATTCTTTTAATTCAGCTCCATTCTGTGCAACAAATAAGGATCCATGAAGGAAAAAAGAAGGTGCAGGAGTGTCAATTTAGGCCACTAAGTTTCCCCAGTTCAAGAGGAACAGGATTTACTTGAGAGAGTCCAACAAAGGCCTACAAGGATGATGAAGGGACTGGAACATCTGTCTGATGACGAAAGGCTAAGAGACCTGGGGCTGTTTAGTCTGGACAAGAGAAGACTGAGAGAGGCTCTAATTAATGTCTATAAATACATGAGGGCATCAAGAAGGCAGGGATAACATCTTGTCACTTCTGCCCTGTGATAGGACAAGGAGCAATGGATTCAAAGTTGAGCACAGGAAGTTCCACCTCAAGATGAGGAGAAACTTCTTTGCTCTGAGGGTGACAGAGCCCTGGGCCAGGCTGCCCAGAGAGGCTGTGGAGTCTCCTTCTCTGGAGACTTTCCAGCCCCATCTGAACATGTTCCTGTGTGACCTGCCCTGGGTGTTCCTGCTGCAGCAGGGGGGTTGGACTTGATGATCTTCAGAGGTCCCTTCCAACCCCGACCATTCTGTGAAGTCCTACTTCATGTCTTAAATCAGAAGTTGCTCAGCAGACACATCTGCAACCCATAGGGATTTTGCCTGCTTAGCACCCATGACTTGTTTTACAGAAAAGGAGATCACAACACACCTTTTCCAGTGAAAAGCATAAGGAAACCTAAAACTAAATTGCTGGTAGCTTTTCCTTTCACTCTTACTTATGCATATATTATTCATCTCCTTCCTCTCCTAAACTGTGTAGGCCCCCAGTGGCTTTACCTCCCAAATACCCCAAACTTGCTCTGTTACCACCACTTATGCCAGGTAGTCATGGGCAGTGAGCAGGGATCCACCAGCAGCTCATTTCTGACTCCTGAAGGCTCCTTTATAATCAGGATCTGTGACTTCACACACCAGAATTATTCTCACTTAGTATTCTTACTACATAAGAAACTCAACATTATGAAAGGAAGAACAAACATCCCAGAAAAGCAGAGTATTTCACTCCCAGCAGCCAGCTCTCGCTTTGACCACGTGCTTCCATGTTCATTTTTGGCTGGCACAACAGGTTTAAGCAATCCCAACCTTCTAGTGCTGTGCCCCCCCCAAATTCAATCCCTCATTGTGCCAGAATTGTTCTGTGGTGCTGTGCTAGGAATCACTCTAGGGGATTAACTGGGCTGAAAAAATAAACACTCCTGTATGCTGTGCTGTTTTTCAGACAGATCAGTTCCTGATGAAACCCACCGAAGATCCAAATAAACACTGGAAGAGATAGTGGAAGGGCAAGAGTATCTTGCATCAGGAACTGCTGACAGAGCCACAGCAACTTCCCAGTCAGTAGCACTGGTATTTGGTAAACTTCATTCCCCCCTGCAAACCAACTTCTGCTCTTCACAGAAAGAGATTAAAAAGTTAACTGGTCTGCTAATATGAACCAGTAAAGATAAGGTAAAGGAGGACAGAGGAAGGAAAAGAGTATGAAGTGCTGAGAAAGGCAAAGCATAAGCAAATGAAGACAGACAGCAGAGCTTAGAAAGCAGGGCCATCAAAAGATCAGATGGGGCATCACACTTTCATCTTCCTCAGAGTAGAAAGTCAGTAACTCATCACCACCCAAAAATCTGGGCTTCTGATTTTGGGGATGAAAAGACTATTGCTGCTCAGAAGACACAACACAATTTGGCAGCCTGAAAGATCTTCCCATGGCAGGTGTGACCAGCAGCACCTGGACTAACTCAGAACAGCTTCTGTAAAGCAAAGCACTATCCACAGATTCCTCACTAGAGAGGAAAGGATACATGGAAAAGGGTCAAAAATCCCCCAAACTTTATTATACACACGGATGTAAATTTTCCTTAAATGATCACAAGTACCCTTCACTTTTGTTGCAGATACTGGTTCCTTCCTGCGGGCAAGGTTTGATGCTGACAAGATGAATTTGGCAGGCACCTGTCACTGAAAGGCAGCAACCCACCATGGTCCCACATGTTGCTGGGTTTTGGTTGGGTTGTTTTCTTCTTGTGTGTTTGCTTTTCCTACTACCACACATTTTCCTATTTCCTTCTCTCTGTGGTTTTCTCCTCCTCTTTCCATATAGCATAGAACAGAAAGCAGTGTCCAGGGAATCTCCCTGGGGATCACATTAGTCCCATCTTCACAAAAATTTGAGGAAGTATGTTAGACCGTTCGCTCTGGAACCACCAGCCAGGAAATGACCACACAAAATTTCTATGGCTTCCAACAACACTTGCAAACAATCCCCTACCAAAAACGTAACACACAACTGGAAAAAGTGGGATGTGAAAAGAGAACTTCAAATTCTGCCCTGTTTGACAGGTGAAAACTGGCTGATCTCCACAATAATCACAAGCTAGCATCTTGCTCCTGTCAAAAGTATGACCTACTCTCAAGCCTCATTAAACCAAAGTGGCCTTAACTTGATCTTTTGCAAGCTTTCCATCTCAGAAATTCACATTGACCTCAAGTGTTCTGTCCCTGAAGGCAAGGTTATCTGATTTAGATAATGGCTGAGGGTGCTGAGCATTCAACACCATCTTACATCATTTGTCAAATGGTCCTCTCAGGTAGATGCAACTTAATGGGAAATTTCTTCTTCCTTGCAATTATTAAGCTGCACAAAACATGCCTCTAAAAATATCTCTCTTCCAGCTGCCAGGCAAGAGCACCATCTGGTGTTTGGCTAATTAAACTTTCACCCTGGTTTTGGCTCAGATTTTTTGCTGGGTTTTTGTTTGGTTTTTAAATTATGTTTCTTGTTGGGAATTTGTTCGGTGAGGTTTTTGTTGTGCTTTGGGGTTTTTTTTAAAGCAAACTCACCCTGCACTGGATCTCACTGCATGAAATAGACACCAAAAAGCTACAAAACAAGCTATGAAAAACTACTTTACCTTGGTGGAGAGGAAGGAAGAACTGTAAAACCACTGAAAAAAATTGCTGAGGTTTTATATATAATTATTTCCCCCTAAAAACACCTCAAACCAATGTGGGATTGTACGATTTTTCAGAATATTGTCCACCTTACTAGTCAGGGGTAGGCTGTAAAACAATTCTTGTATCTTCAGGGGTTCTTAAGAGAGAAATGGACTGTACCTACACCCACTGCTTTGCAACACTATCTTCTTGCTCCCCTCTGGCTGTTCTCTCCATGCAAAAGCCAAAATCCTCCTTCCTCCTCCTCATGCATTTCAAAAATCACACCTGGTAAATGCCTCCCAGTTGCTTGGCTTAACCATTTTCCCTCCCTCCCAGTTGCTCCCAGGCATTCTAGTATGTGAGACAGATGATCTACCAGATCTGCTCCTAATTGTTAGGAAAATAAATGTGTTTATGAAAATTAAAGTCTCTCTCTGCCTTTCAGAAGCTACTGGGCACAGCACATAGGTAAGTCATGTAACATGAAAGCTCTGCCTCCCTAGACATTTTATTCCATCCTTCATTTCCATCAGTAATTTACATTTGAGGTTCAGGAGCTCAGGGTAGTCATAAATCTGCACTAGTTTGTCATCATCTGAAAAAAAAACAAACAACCTTTGACTACCATTCACTTTGACAGACACTCTGTTTTAACTAAAAATCATACTGAAAGATGGCAATAAAGTTGGCTAGAACAGCTCTCAAACACATTTCCAATTTATTAACAACTAGAAGAGTTCCCAGCTGTAGCAGTAACACATTGTGGCCTATTTAAACCTGTTCCACAAGTGTTTAGATGTAGTGTGTTTTGATCCTTATGAAAAAGCTTTGTCCCTTGCAAGGAAATATTGTTAAGAATAAAGGAGGTAAATAAGACATTTCACCTGACAGGAAAGTATCAGGTCACATTATAAACTGTAAAACCAGTTTAAGTAATACTTCAAGGTATTAAGTAACAGATTGTTCTCCTAAGACTGACAATCAACACACAGGCCAACAAATTTAGCAATGGAGTTGGGTTACCAGAAGTCACAAGGATTTATGTTCTCTATTTCTGGAGATGTGCAATGGATCCTCTCAAAAATGTTCATTCTCTTTCTAGCTACACCCCTTGGTAGAGTGCAAAGACATACAAAACCCAAATTTTAGCAATTTAGGAAATATTTATGCAGAGACAGGATGTCAAGCTTCTTTTTTAAAATGTTAAAGAGGAGGGGAAATAAGCAATACAGATGAAGAACCTCAACAGCTAACCTACAACTAAGTTACAGAAGCTACACAATTCATTAAATTCAAGGGCAACACCACATGTTGGAGTCCTCAGCAACTCCAGAAAAGCCAGAGTTTAGCTCAAAAAAACCCCTTTAAAGCTCCACCTCAACATTACAGCCCCTACTTCTGATCTTTTCCAGCTTCCAGGAGTGTGAATAGCAATTACAACTATCATGAAGAAGAAAAGAACCCCCAGGAATAGAAAAGGTGGTGGAAACAGCTTCCTAAAATTAGAATGAACAGGCATTTCCTCCTCTGCTACCTAAACCAGGAATCATGAACAAAACCACTCAGTTGCTTTCAGACTTGTCACTTCTGGAAATACACTAGCAAGGTTTAGTTCTTCAACAAGCACCTTCTTACCTGTTGGTTGGGGTGGTAAAGCTGAAGGAGAGCAGCTGATTCCAGAATGGGTCATTCTCAGAGATGGGCTCTGCTCCTGATAACTTTTTCAAGTACTCATTTTCTGGAAGCTCACTGATGCTGCTGCTGTTGGCTCCCATCTTCTTTATCTGGCAAATCCCTTTCTAAATTTGCATTTCTTGAAGGAAAAAGAAAAAAAAAGAAGAGAGAAACATTTTATGTCTTTTGTACAAATAAGGAATACACAGATGAGCTATCAGTAAAGCTTCTCTTCATTAATTTGAACAATTACTGAAAGGTGGAAAACAGGCACATAGGAAGACATGAAAAAGATTTTCTTTCAAACAAATGTAGGACATCATCTTCATCCAAGGGAGTTAAAAATTAGTGCTAAACACTTCAGTCATTCTCTCACTTGGATTTTCTTAAATTAGCCTCTGCCAGAAATACAGTTACAGTTATATCAATATCAAGGCTACTCCCAGTAGGGAAAACTACAGGGAATTCATTATTTCAACAGGGGTGTTAGGTTAACAAGCTACTAAAAATTGAATACAGATGGATACCAAGGCAAATTGCTCCTGTTGTCAAGAAAGGGAGTCTACCATTAAGCTAATTCCTGGGAGCCATCAATGATCTACACCTTGAAAGCCCCGGAGTAGACACAGCCATTAACAGTGCTGCAGAGAAAACCTCCCAACAGGGGAGGAAAGGCGCTGCTGACTCTACATGAACCTCCTGAACTCTGTGAAATAATCTGCTTTTTGAAGCAACACCACACAAGTTGGCAGAGACACTCCAAAACCTCCTATCATTAGTACCTGTGTTGCACTTGATCTGTACAGAGAAGGAGATTCCAGCTCTCCTCGCTGGTATCAGCACTTCTCACCTTTATACATTATTTAATTAAAAAGAAAAAAAACCACCATGATGCTATGAACTACGTGCCAGGGATGTTCCTAAGCATATGACACCTTTCCAGGACACCAGCTTCAATAACCCTCTATCTTTTGAAAAGAAATAACTGTGACTAATAGCTTTAAAAGTTTATATGAAAAAAAACCACCCTCATCAAGATAAAAGCTCTGTGCAATGTATTATGGTGCAACCTAAATACCCCTGAGCTGACATAAGACACATGGAACTGGAATTGTCAAGAGTTGGAAGGGACCTCTAGAGATCATCCAGTCCAACTCTCCCACTAAAACAGGATCCCCTGGAGCACATTCCTCAGGACTGCACCCAGGGGGGTCTGGAGTATCTCCAGAGAAGGAGACTCCACAACCTCTCTGGCCAGCCTGTCCCAGGACTCTGTCACCCTCACCAGAAATAAGTTTCTCCTCATATTTCAGTGGCACTTCCCATGTTCCAGCTTGTGCCCATTGCCCCTTGTCCTGACCCTGGGAACTACTGAGCAGAGTCTGGCTCCATCCTCCCTGCACCCACCCTGAAATACTTGTAGGCATTGATCGGGTCTCTCCTCAGCCTTCTCCTCTCCAGGCTGAACAGTCCCAGCTCTCTTGGCCTTTCCTCATCAGGGAGATGCTCCAATCCCCCACTCATCTTTGTTGAAAAGAAGAACAGGGAGAGCTGTATCAGAGCTACTACCCAGCACCAACTCCTCCTTTGGTCTCACCTAAGATCCAGGATCTGTTTCAAGAATCACCCCAGTACTGATTCTCTTCAGACACATCATCTTTCCAGAAGCAACTACTTCCAGACCAGACCATGCTCATAGCAACTAAGATGAATAAAGAACAGCACCAAAAAATGACAAGAAACTTACTAAAAAAATTCAGAGATGCAAAGACAAGCTGCATTGTTTGCAGCCATCATGGAGGCCATCTGAACAACTTTAAAGATTTAGAGCATATGCACAGCACCCAAATATTTCAGAAGCAACAAAATACCAGCACAGAGAGAGATCAGAACATAGGAGACTATTAAGCAATAATGGGGTCTTTAAAAGGTGAGATTCTACAAAACAAAAAGGCGGAAAATGTTTCTTCTTTTCTAATTTTGGGGACTACTTGGAGGAAGAGAAATGTAGAAGTGGCCTAGGAGTGGAAAATGGAAGTTTATGCAGGGAATTCTGTGGAGAAGCATTAAAGGGTTACAAAATGTAATTAGTTTAAGAGGATTTCCAGAACTTTGGTTCAATGTTCACTCACAGAACCGAATGAATGCTTCTGATTTGAATATAAATTCTGCTGCTTAAAAAAAACAACAAAAAAACCCTGAAACTTTCAAATAGAAACAGTACCCAAGCTGAAGTGCAACAGAAACCATTTTGCATAATATACAGGAATACTGGGTCACCACTTAGAAGAACCAAGGTGCAGCCTGTACATGGACATCTCAGCTCTGCAGCCCCTGGTTTGCACAAACCCAACTACTCCAGAACCCAACAACAATGCTGTTGGATCCATATGTGGGCTCAAGTCCTTCCCCTGCACCTCTGAGAGACTTCAAAGTCATGTATTTAAATCTCATTTCTTGGGAGGACAGACAGTTCAAGTTTGTGTCTGCCTCAGGTTCCCATCCTGCTCATGCCTTCCAGCTCACTTGCTTCAAGATGAACACCCAAAGGAGAGGATAAACAAGACGTAGCCTTCAAATTCCTCTACCTGAACCTCTAATTCTTGAGTTCTCCTTGTGACCAGGCCCTGAATTCTTAGCCCATCCTCCTAAGACAATTAACCCCTCTCCACTCTGCTTCACAAGCTATTCTCACAGCCTGCAGCTCCCAGAACTCACCAGTTATCCCATTTCCCCAGTTTAACCCATCTTCCCAGCAATGTAAGAGGGATGGGAACAGGCTGCTAAGCTATGAGAAGAGCCTGTACACTTTCCAGATGACCTGCAGCACCCCAGTAGATTTAAATTCCATTCCAACAAATCTCTCTAAATAAAAGTGCTATAAAAGCAAGGGAAGAGAAAAATATTTACTACTTTCAGAGCCAGTGTCAAATTCACATTGCCCAAAACTGTGCCCACAGAGCATGTTGCTGGCTACAAACCTTCATGAGGTCTCCCTGTGACCTACTGCCCAGCTGGCTCCTTCCAAACTGCAGAAACTGGGTTTATTTTCCCCAAGAGTGTCTCCTCAGAGTGCCAGAAAAACAATTCTTTCTACTAAATAAATATCAAGCTGATTGTATTTTCTCCACTACATAAAATATCAAGTCACTGAGATCTGCCTAAAGAATCCAACTGGTCAAGTGCTTGTAGCAATAGGCAGTAGAAATGTGCACTTGAAGAGCTTTTCCTTTCACTAATTTGGGAGTCAAGAAATCCTAGAGCAATCAAATCACCTTGTAGATTTTTCTCCAGAAGGTTTTCCCCCTCCCCTCCTAAGAATCTTACATTCACTCTACTCCCCTGAAGTAAAAACCTCAGCAAGTTCTACAGATACTATAGGTGACCACACTTAGAAGCAACACACAACAGCTGTAACAAAGCTAACTCCTTCCATCAGGAATTCATGTTCCCTCGAAACCTGTAGTGCCCAGTGGTGATTTTATGGTGCAGCCTGAGCACCTTCAGCTCCTACAACCTCAACAGCCCAGCTTTAAAGACACAAAACATTTCTGAGGAACTCCAGCCACCAGGTGATAAGAGGAAACAAGTCCTTCCTTTAGAAAAATTGCATCAGAAAAATGTCTAAAAATAATTTAAAATTTTAAAAAGTAGGTATCAAGATGTAATTTCCCAGCCCCCAGTGCTTTATCTCAGATGGTTACATGTTATGCATGGTCCCCAACACATTTCCAAGACAGATGCTGTTCTCCATTCACCACCCTAAATCATATTCAAACATGATATTGAGCAGCAGACATATTTCTTTTAGAAACAGCTGAGAATATCACTCAAATAAAACATCTAACCTCTTCAGTTTGCAAACTGCTTTGGATTCAGAGGCATTTCTGCTGTGCCTCTCCCACTGCATGCTGGCTGAAGCAGCACAGAACAAATCTGTAGATGACACAAAAGCTTGGGCCAGTATTTAGAATGGAACACTATTTTTTAAACTCTTAGGTTTTAAATTTTAAGTCCTCACCTAGAATTTTCCCTAAACTTTCACTTCCACACAGTCCCAGCTTATCCAGGGGACCTGAAAGTCACTCCTGAAGACAAGGTTAAACAAATTCTGCTCCCTCATGTGCTGAAGTGAGATAAGGACAAGAAACATAAAATAATAGGAAATCCCCTTCTCCAGAAAACTCACTCCTACCCCCAACAGTAAACTACCAATTAAACCTGTTTTTCCCCCTTGAAATACACTGAATAAATGCATAGTTCATTTTAAAAAAGCTACATCTTCTCTTGACAAGGAATGAATCTACTTGTTTGCTCAAAAAATAAAGACACCGACTGACTTGATAGTAAATTAATACAGTATTATTACCTCAACCAACAACAACTCTTTCTAAATAAGCTGGGAACACTCCCAAGGAATCACAGTCTGGTCTGCAAGTGTCATGCTCTATTAAACCCAACATCTGCTCAGTCCCAGAACTTGGCTCCACACTGCAGAAGCAGATGCTTCACAGCAAACAGCAGGGAGTTTGTTTTGCACATCAGGATTCATTCCCATCTCAAATAGCTGGGAGTAGAAATAAATCTTGAGTTTTCTGTCCCTTCTGAAAGATTGTTAATATTAATTATTAACAATGTTTACCAAAAGATCATTTTCCCTCTGCAAGTTCAAAGCAGTTCAGTGGTACATACAAGCTGTGTCTGAGGGCAACTCAAGGCACAATTTGTGTTTGGAAAAACAACCTTGTCATACTCTCTAAGCCTTCTACTTAAATAATTTCAGACAAGTAATTAAGTATTAAATCTCCTACTGATCTCACAACTTTCCAATGCTGACATGTCACTAATCACTCCAGCATAGCCAGCTCCCCCTTCCAAAACTGTCCTTGCCATGACTGGTCAGCTGAGTCTGCAGACAATCTGAATAATACTGATTATATAGACTTTTTTTTTAATTAGTACTTCAAAGTGCAGGAGCACAGTCACACAATTTCACCATGCCATCTGAGAGCTGGTTTCTAGGTTGGGTCTTCAACACAAGCATACAAAAAATAAATCATGTGGTGCTACTGTAGATTGGAAAACCTAACATTTCATTTCCACACAGAACAGCACTCTGGTTCCCTTTATGGTTTGCTGCTTG